GCTCCAAACCATCAGCTACTTTGCTAAGGTTCTGTCCTTTCAGCCTCCTTCTGGACGGGAGCTTCTGTAAAAAGCTGGCTGCAGTTCGCCATCTTGGCTCCGCCCCCCCAGATTTTTTTTTAAGAGTGATTTTTGTGGAACCATGGATAAGTCAAAAATTTATGACATTTTTGAATATGAGTTCTGCTGTGGAACCAATGCAGCGCAGACAACTCAAAATATCAATGAAGTGTTTGGGAAGCATGTGGCTAATGAATACACAGTACCTCTTTAGTTAGAGAAGTTCCATTCTGGTGATTTTAATCTTGAAAATGAGTCACGTGGCTGACCCGAGACTAAGGTTGAGTTGAAAGCTGTATTGGAAGCGAATCTATCTCAACCTAAGTGTGAATTAGCAGCAAAGTTTGATGTTACTAGTCCAGTGATATTTGACCATTTGAAATAAATTGGCAAGGTAAAGAAGCTGCATCCTTGAACTCTGCATGAATTAAGTGAGCATCAGAACAGAAATCTCTGAATTTGCCTTTCTTTGGTGTTATGGCATAAAGGTGAGCAATTTCTACACTGTATTGTTACATGTAATGAGAAATGGATTCTTTTTGACAATCAGTGTTTGGCACAATGTTTGGATAAATATGAAGTGCCAAAACACAGTCCAAAACCAAATATTCATCAAAAAAAGGCTAATGGTGTCTGGTCGTCCAGTGTGGGTATTATCCACTATAGCTTCACAATTCCTGGTCTATCGATTACAGCTGATGTCTGCTCCGAGCAACTGTATGAAATGATGAGGATGCTTGAGGTTAAGCAACCCAGATTGGCCTTTCAGTCAAGATAACACTTGACCACCTGTCACACAGCACTGTTCAAACTACAGAATCTGGACTTGGAAACTCACTCTCTATTGTCCACCACGTGCACCAGACCTGGCACCAGTTACCACTTTTTTCAGGCTTTTCACCACTTTTCCCTTCTTGTAGGGAAAAATATACAATTCTCAACAAGCTATGGAAAATACTGTTCGTGAATTTTTTTTTTTTTGGAGACATAGTCTCATTATGTCGCCCTCAGTAGAGTTCCATCGTGCTATAGCTCACAGCAACCTCAAACTCTTAGGCTTAAGTGATTCTCTTGCCTCGGCCTCCCAAGTAGCTAGGAGTACAGGGACATAGGCGCCCCGCAATAGTCTGGCTGTTTTTTGTTAGAGTGGTCATTGTTGTTTAGCTGGTCTGGCCAGGTTCAAACCCACCAGCCTCGGTGTATGTAGCTGGCGCCATAACCACTGTGCTACAGGTGCCCAGCCTACCTTTTGTGATTTTGTCAACACTCACATCCTTCAGGCCTCTGCACTGCTGTCATAAACAAGCTAGTTAAGATGCCAAAACTGTTGGTAGTTTAGGTGCATACTTTGATAAAGGGTCTGCTTTTTCTATGAGATATAATAAACTTTTTATTTGAAATTGGACATTTCATATTTAATGACCTAAATAGGACCTTCACTGCCTCTCAGACTTGTTTAATACAAACTTCTTTTTTGAGTTGTGTGTTACATAACTCACCTACATAATATGCCAGGTAGACAAAGATGTCAGTTATTGTAGATGTCCAGAAGGAGTGTTACATTTTGACAATTGGTGCTGAAAATACACCATAGCACCTGTTTTACAAAACGTTTAAAAATGTTCACTAACTTTGTTCTGCAGCCAGTGGTCACATGGAATTAATTTTGGCAGAGTTCAGATTTTCTTTTTGAAAGTTTGTATTTGTTTCCAGTTCCATTACAGCTTTTCTGGAACTCGAATTTATAATCTCTAATTTCAGTTTTTGAAGCAAGAGAATTCTTTGTTCAGGTGGTCAAGGCAACTTCAGCTGAAATCTTTTTGCCACTGCTAACTTGCTTAACTTACTTCATTAAGGAAGTACCAGGTATATGGTAGGTAATTTGGTACTCTAGAAATATAAAGATGAAGGATATAGTTCTTGACTTCAAAGATATAATTTGTTCAACAGCATTTATTGCATATTTTAAGCACTGTTTGGTATCAAAATGTGCTATTCACATGAAAGCAAATAGTTGAAACAGAGAAAACCATACACTACTCTCTTGGAGATGGTTTGAGTTAATAGCAGTGGAGTGGATGAAGGAGAAAATAAGGGATTTAAAAAATAGTGGTCAAATTCTTTGTCCTTCTTTGTGGAAGGAATGGGAAGAATAAAGAAATGGAGGGGGAAACTGTTCCAGAGGGCTCGGTGTAACAAAGGGATTAACTGGGTTTCAACTTGTGTTTATCATAGCCCGTTAGAAGTACTTTTTTTCCCACAGGGAAATAATTTATAATAACATGTAGGTTCAGTTTTTCCCCTGTTTTTGAACTAATAAAAGTTTGCTTTTGACCTTTTGTACTTAGATAGAAGACCTGCGAGCACAACTTTGCAAAGCAGAGTGCGAACGAAAGAGTTCACAGCAAGTGTGTCCGCTTTCCAAGCAACAGTCAAGCCATCAGGATGAACAAGGAGTTGACTGGGGGTTTAGGAGAGGTATAATTCTGCCTTGTGGGTTTTTTTTGGGTCTTTCTTAGAAAATATTTTTTATTCTCAGAACTGCAGTCCTTATGCTCATGTCATGCTATTTCGTGATCTATTACAAAGTTTTCTGGCAAATTGATCCTTATTTAGCATCTAATTTTAATGTCTTCTCTGTTTTCTAAACCCACTTCAGTTGTCAGACATCCTCATCCCTGGGGTTTCTAAAACCTGAAAAGTAATAATGGAAGTTTTTCTCTTCTCCTATTCCCTCACCTAACTGTGTGTGTGTATGTGTGTGTCTGTGTGTGTACTTGGTCCTTAAATTCTAAATGCCCCTTTATTTTTTTACTTTCCTTGTCTCAGTTTTCAATATGTAAAAAACTAAAATTAAGATCCTGTCTTTTTTGTTGTCTGGACATTGGTGACAAAAGCCAGTCACATTCTGGAAGTGGTTGTAAGCCATATCACTGGCTTTTTCTTATGTGGATTAGGAATGCTTTGTGCTTGAAATATGTTATTATAGAATGCCTTCTCAGTGGAGTTGTTAATTTAAATTGTGGAAATATTATTCTGGATGTCAGTTTAGGTTTGACAAAAATGGTAATGTTGAGATTTTATAATGGTTTCTAACAGGTGAGTCCAGATTGCTTAGCTTGTATGTTATTTCCATAATGAGGCTTCCTACTGAAATGCCCAAATTATCGGAGAAACTCTTGTAAGCATTTGATGTGCCATTAAATTCAGGGAAGGTAAATATTTTCCCAGGCTTCCCAAACGTTGTATGTTTCCTAAGTTAGAATTATTCCCAGATAATCTTCAATGAATGACAAATTTTGATAAAGCTATCAATGAGTTAGTCCATTTTGTATTGCTATAAAGGAATACCTGAGGCCAGGTAATTTATAAGGAAAAGAGGTTTATTTAGTGCATAACATCTGCCCACCTTCTGGGCTAGGGCTTTTGTGTTGTATCAGATCATGAAGGAGAAGGACAAAGGTGGGGAAGTGTGAAGAGGGATCAAAGCAGAGGGTCATCTTGTCTTTATAGCAACCCCTTCTCTCGGGAACTAATCCTTTCCCCCAGAACCAATCTAGTCCCAGCACAGCAAGAACTACTCCCTACCACAGGAAGGGCAAGGCACTAAGCCATTCTTGAGGGATCAATCTCCATGACCCACACGTAGCATGGGAGCATGGGAGCATATCATGGGAGCAAACCATGGCCTCTGCCTCCTGATACCACCACACTGGGGGTAAGATTTCAAGGAGGGATTTGGTGGGGGCAGACCAGCCATGTCCCAAACTGAAGCATGTATCTATTTGTTTGCCATTACTTTCACTTAAGTTTTGTGTGATTCTACAATTTAAATATCATTTGGCATCAATTATTTATTTTTAAAAGTGAAATCCTAAACTATTAGATTATTCATCAGATTTCATAAACACATAGGAATTGTTGGAAAAAGACTCTGGCCCATTTGTTATGTGCTTTGATACCTCATAAAATCTAGTTATCTTTGGTGTACATCTTTGAGAACTAGAAAAATCTAAGTTTTGGTAACTACTTACTAGGTTTTTAAGAAAATCTGAAAGTTCTTTTATCAATGAGGTAATCCTTTACTTTCTTTTAACAATTATGGTGTTTTTAATCTTTATAGAATACTTGTATTGTTCAAAAACCATTCTGCATAAGAAATCATACTTAATGTCACAGTGAGCTGCTGTTTGTTGCTTTGCCCACTGGAAAATGGGTTCTACCTCTGTTTCCAGTGATCTCCTCCATCAGTCTCAAAGGGCTCTTCCTGTTGCCTGTCTTCCTGTCACTTGTTTCCTCTTCCTTTTTGAAACTTTTCCACTGATTTCAGTGCTTCTAGTCTTTCCCAGTCCTTCTGCCTCAGTGTCTTCATTCTTTTTATTTGAATACTTTCTCAGGTCTTTGAAGTGTTGGATTTGCCTAGTACCCTATTCATGGCCTTTCTTACTTGGTGTTTCCTCCTAGGGGCTGTTATTAAATTTTAGGCTATAGTTATCACCTACAATGATAATCCCTAGGTCTAGCTCTGGTCTCTCTCCTTTAGCCCCCCAGATGCAGTTGCTTGTTAGAACTCTGCAGATGCTGTTTCACAGTGTGCTCAGTAAGCAGATTTACAGTTGAATTCATTCTTGCCTCAAAACTTATTTTCCTTTCTCATCTCAATAGCATCATCTTCTATCCAGTCACAAAGAGAGAGCATCAGATTATTCCTTCTCCTCGTCACCTAATTAGTCCCTATATTTTGCTTATTTACACCTTCTGAAATCTTTTGAATTTGCCCCATTCTCTTTTATTCTCACGGCCCCAGTGTAGGCATGCTTCATCTCACCTGTACTACTCTCTTAACTTGCCTCACCTTATTCTGGTTCCTTGGTAACCTGCCTTCTATACTATGACTGAAGGTCTGTGCTCCTACTGTGATACAAACTCTTTTGATTAAAGCCTGTCCTTACAGTTCGTTGAGCTCTTACTGCCCACATAGACTTATGCTTCTTACCTTACACTGTCTGCTTTAATTCATACAACTCCTCTATGAGAAGGATACTATTTACCTCTATTTTTGTGATTAAAAAAGGAACTAAAGAACAAAGAGACTGAGTAATTCACCTCAAGATCACATAAGTGGAAGTAGCAGACTCAAATCTTTTCTTTCTCAAACTTGAGCTATTAACTGCTACCCTAGCTGAGCTAAGCTTTCTTTAAAATGGAGTGTATGAGATAATCCTCTGGACCTGGGAAGAGAATGCTATTTGTATTTGTATTTTATTCTTTATGTTTTAAATGTCATAATGTTTGGTAAATGTTTCATTGTACAGGGTATCCATAAAGTTTGTGTGCAATTAAATGTTAAATATTGCACATGAACTTTATGGACACCCTTATATGATATATGTGTCTGTGTGTTTGTGTGTGTCTTTATCTCTACTACTATTTCATATATATATATGTAACTTGAAATATAGCAAAATACCTATGTCTTCATACCAAATACATGCCTGTTTCATAAAGTATACATATGTATCTATGCATATATGTATGCCTTCCTATTTTATATAATATATACTCATGCTAATATTAGCTATATCATGAAAAATATATTGTTGTGTGCATATTATTGAGACATAGGTTATAGAACATAGTATGTAGTGTACAGTGTGCATACACATATACATGTACAATATTTATAAAATGAATAAATGCAATTACATGTAAATAAATATGTACACTACATCTTTTCAGGTTGGAGACATATATAGCAGGAGTTGGCAGAGTAGGGCCCATGGGCCAAATCCAGACTGCCATCTGTTTTTGTAAACTTTATTGGATTATAGCTATGCCTATCCATTTACACTCTGTGTAGGCTATTTTTGTAGTATAGTAACAGAGTTGAGTAATTCTGATAGATCATATGACTACAGTATTACTTGGTCCTTTATAGAAAACGTTTGCTAACTTTTGGTCAAGAAGATAAACTCTAAGTTCCCCACAACGCATAAACTCTGCTGACTCTCCTTCTTCTCACTCTCCTGGGTGTAAGCTGTACAGAACAACTGTGTGTGCAGTTACCTGAATATTAAACCCAACTGGATAGCCGTGTGCTTTTTGGTGTTTTTTTCCCTAAAAGGAGAGCCCAACTCTATCTCCTTTGCTTAGTGAAATTTTGTATTTATTCTTGAACTCTTAGTTCTCAATTCTTCCTAACCTCAGTTTCTCACCCAGATAGAGAGCTAATCCCTCCATCCTTGTAGTATTTCTGTGTAATCCTCATGTTTCTGTCAGTGCCCTTATGCTGTTGAAATGCACTTGTCTCCTATTCCTGTATGTTCAATTTTGAACACTTCAACATTTCTGAAGGTGAGACATGTTATAAATGATATATGCATTTGGTTTGTTAGACACATTTTCTTTTTTCTCCTGTATTTTCTGGAAAGGAAACCACTAGAAAACTGGAAGTTTTAAAACAACAGTGTATATTTCAATTGTTAACATCGTAGACTCAAGCCAATTTATGTTTTATCTCTAGGAATATAATAAGCTCATTTAGGGTGAGTTTTTATGCATCTTTATTTTTGTTCTTTATTTTATAATAACACTATGTTATTATAGTGTCCTATGTATTATAAATCAAGTATTTCATGTTGAATTAAATGCTGAGTCAATTTATACATTGTCTAATGATGTAATTTCCGGTAATAGTCTTCAGAATTGGGAAGCATTAGTAAATTGGTTGTCATACACAATCAGATTTAGCAACATCATTTTTAGTTTATGTTGCAAGAAAAGCATTTTGTTATGGTAAATTTTACTAAGTTTAGTTAGGCAGGGTAGCTTAGTTGACAGTTCTTATGATGTTTTGTTTTACTGTTTGGAGATATTCTAGAGACAAGAGGAAAACTAAAGAAAAAAATATGTAGGATTTTCTTGAAATAAATTGGAATAGACATCACATAACATTTTAAGTTTTAGCCACAAAGTGGAATAATACTGGATGACATAACAACTTGTATACAGTATCTGTTGAATGACAGTGCCAATGAATGGATTAATTTAGCTAGAATATTAAAATGTTAGGGTTCAATACTATTTGCAAGTACATTCTCCTGTGAATACAGAACAACCATTGAGCTTTACATTTTCTCTTTTCAGGGATCGAGCGGGAGAAACAGGATCTGGAGAAGAAGATATCAGGTTTGAGAGCTCAGATGGACTTGAATGCGCTGGCATCGGAGCTAGAGGAAGTGAAGCGGTGCATGGAGCGCAAAGACAAGGAGAAAGCACAGCTGGCAGCACAAGTGGAGGTGACTTTGCCCTTCTTAAAGCTGTATTTCATAGCCTTTAATTTTATTTCATAGAATTGCTTAGTGAATTTTTTTTTTTTTTTGAGACAGAGTCTTACTTTGTTGCCCTTGGTAGAGTGCTGTGGCATCACAGCTCACAGCAACCTCCAACTCTTAGGCTTAAGCAATTCTCTTGACTCAGCCTCCTAAGAAGCTGGGACTACAGGCACCCACCACAACGCCTGGCTGTTTTTTGGTTGCAGGTGTCATTGTTGTTTAGCCAGCCTGGGCCAGGCTCGAACCTGCCAGCCTTGGTGTACGTGGCTGGCGCCCTACTCACTGAGCTATGGGCGCTGAGCCCGCTTAGGGAAATTTTAATATAAATGTTTTAGTTTGTGAACTCTAGTTTGAGTGTAGATAATGTAAAGTTATGTTATGACTAATTTGCTTATATGTAGGACATACTATATAGAAATCCCTATGAATTCATTTATATTTCATTTGGGACCTAAAAACTAGGAAACTGGACTCTTTCCCGCTATTATGTTATAGTGAAATATTCTGCTGTTATTTAATTTGAAAATATTTTTATTCTGGTAGCAGGTGAGCCCTTCCTACAGATAGCAGGGACCTTTCTTATCTGAGAGAACAGTGAATTGTCATTGTTTTGGGGGAAAAATTGGCAGAAAGAATAATAAGAAAGAATTATTACTATTTCTTCTTTGGAACCATAAAAATTTTCAAATGAAGTAAAATTGTGATGACTCCATTAAATTAGTGTTATGCAGTAATCATGTATGATGTGGTCTTCATGAATGAAGTGTAAGTAGTAGGCAGCTATCATTTCCTGCCTCTCTTTTATCTAGCATAGATGAACTAATTATGAGAATATATTAAAAATCAAAGGGAAGGACCTCATAAAGGGAAATGGCTTAATACAAATCATAATTATGCAAATTAGATCAAATACGGATGACACATTTGGAAATAGATATGTATCAATCCTCCCATGTATCTGTTTTTGTTGGGGAAGCTGTGTTCTAATTGTAATAAGTTGCAATTGAAGGATTTCCAAAATTATAATGAAAGGTAGAAAATTGGTGTTAAAAGCACCTAATTTTATATAACCCAAAGGAAGTATTTAATGTTACTCCAGTCTGAGTTTCTCTTTCATCTTATCAGCATGTCAATAGAAAATGTCTTTTAGATTTGGTTCAAGATTCAGATCGTAAAGATAATGAAATATTGACTTACTCTTTACAAAGTCGCCTACCTGATTAATAAATACTTGAAATAGTCTCTGAGGAATGGTATTTGTATGACTTTTAGAGCTTGCTTCATGGGTATTATTTTAGCCCTTGATCCTGCTGATGAAAATGCTGAAATATGATTCTTTTGCTGAAATTAAGTTATTTTTTCAAACTATGATAATATATCTCAAAGGTAGAAAATCCCTTTGCTAGCTGCTTATAGCCATATATGTTGGTTCTTCCTCCCTTCTTTCCTTGCCTCTCATTTTCATTTTTCCATATAAGTTGAGGAAAAAAAGATCTCAAATATATGAGCATTTAAAAAAAAAATGCTTCTAATAGCCTAATAATGCCCTCCTTCAAGGATCTTGGCTTTCCCTGCATCTCAATTTAATAGTTCTTTACACTTGCACATGGGTTAGAGGGAGAGTGTGAGTTCTCTTGGATTGATTGTACAGGCTTTAGGTGTGAAAAACAATGGAAGGAGAGATTTTTATTCACATATCAAATTACTGACCATCTTTTATATGCCAGCCACTGTTCCAGGTGTTGGAGATGTAGCAGCAAACAGAAATTCCACCAATTCCTTATCTCTTGCTGGTGACATGCTAAAATTGACGTAGAAAGATTTTGAATTTGTCTTCTAAGAACAAATTCCTTTCAGAGAATGAGGATTCCCCCCCCAGTTGCTATTGAAAAAGACATTGCAGAAAGACAGCAATCATCCCAGGAATAAATTACCATTAACTACTTACAGATTAGTTTTTCAGGATTTCTTATTTTTAACAATAAAATAATTATTTACATGAGTGGTTTTAGATTTAGTGACATTTCTGATTAAGTTTTGTTTATTGTTCATAACTTTTAGAGGCCCTCTGAGTATCTTTATCCACTACCTGTTCTCAAAGTGAACAGTGCAGACTTTGTGAGAGATATGGGTTATATTCCACTCCATTGTAACCTCTAATAGTTAAGAATTTTACTGAAATTTTATTGAATTCCATTTAGTTTCTGCTTTAGTTTTAGAAAATATCAGATAGTATGGGGCTGTTGCCTTATACATGCTATTAAAAAACAAAGATTAATCTCCTTTTGTTGCTTCTTGGAGACCAAATATGAATAAAAAAAAGAGTGTTGGTCAAGCCCAACAATCAAGAAAGTTTGTATAGCAACAGTTCTTATGACATGTTCAATCATTAGTACTTTCTTTTTAACCTTGATTTTCTGAAAAGTCTTCTATAATACCTCAGATATGGTCTTGTCAAATAATTCATGTTTTTGTAAACTACTCATTTCCGCCTTTTGCCTGTTTCTATAATTTCTTTGTGTGTGTGTGTGTGTGTGTAAATTCTGAACTTCTTCCCCCTTGAAGCTTTCTTGGATTATATCTGTTGTAAATGATAATCCTTCTTTCTGAATAACACCTTTGTCCCTATCACTAATATTCTTATGACACCCTTCTCAAACTCTTTTAAAGTAATCTGGGTATTTTTCTTTAAAAATTACCAAGTTTTGGCCAAATAAAGAAGAAAAAGAGCTGCAGGAGAAAGGCAGCTGCCCCATCATCTAGACAGAGTCAATTTTGATGTCCTTACTTTGGTGAAGACATGATGTTTTAAGGTCTGTATTCACATGTGGAAACTTGAGTTTTGTGTGTCTTACGGTTAATGTGACCCAGGAGACTGGCTCATATTAACACTAAAACTCACAAGAGAGCAGTATATAAATGAATGACAGTTCATTGATTTACCCTGCAGGAGTCCTATAGAGAACATTTTTCTCTTGTGCAGGGTACAAATCTAATTTGATGTGGTTTTAGAATTAATAACCAAAAGATTGCTTGGTGATCAAGGACTCAGAGAACAGTAATGTCTAAACTGTTGTTTGTTCAGGCTGTAGTAAAGCTTCTCAACCTTCCACCTCCCTTTACCTATTTACTTTTTGTATTTATTCCTGGAGTGTGTGATATCACTAGTCTTTCTAACAATCTTCTGTGCTTCCACTTTAATGCTGAACCTCACATTTACTTTTTCTTTAGATACGTTGCTGTCTACAGATTTTGCTCTGGGCCATTTACCAGTATGCATTGATATTATAATTCAAACTTACAGCATAGCCGCTTATGAATTTAATGTGTCTATCCCTTTTCAGATCATAAATGGCTGTGAGTTAAGAACCAGGTTTTATCTCTGTATTCTCATAATGTTTTACCCATATTAGGAGTTCAGTTAGTATGTGTTGAATGAAATGATATAAATTGTAGAAAATTTTTATTCACTTTTTAAGCGAAGCTCATATTTGTTGTATAGTCATTGCTTTAAATCGCATCCATTTCTGAAAGAATCGTCACTATTTAAAGGGATCTTTGCTATGCCTCATTAATTACATTAATTTTCAGAATATATTTTAAGCAATCATGTTCACATTGGGGGAAGACAATGAAAATAGTTCTTAAAAAAAAGTGGAAGAAAAGTTACATTTAAATTTGCACATTTACCTTTCAAATTGTACCGAAGACCTTAAATCTATATATGCATAGAAATACTAAGTGCATTTTTTTCTTCTTCTAAACTCAAGTCGAACCTCATTAACCTTGATAGGCTATTTGTATTCATAAGAATTCCAAGCATCCTTGATCAATGATTTCCCCTGATTTAATCTCTGCCTCCATCTTCCATCAACTTACTCTTCTTGAAAAATATTTGACTTTTAAATTTAAGAAAGAACTTCAAAGAAAGGAAAAAACCCAAGGTGCTGAACATAATTTAGATTAAATGTTGAAGGTGATAATTGAGTGACAACTGACATGATTATTCATTAGCAGCAACTTGGGACTATAATGCCAGAATGTACTTTTGAAAAGGAGAGAGTAGTAGAAAAAAGAAATAATGATAACGTTTTTTGATGGTTAGTACAGTAGAAACAGAGCGAAGATTGTTTCTTCACTTGTAACATAAACTCTTTTAATTCTTGCATTTCTTCTATAAGGCTGGCCACTTTACTATATCATAATGCCCTCTTCAATATTACATTTAATAGCAAAATTAAACCCATTTTAGAGACCTAGGTTTTAGAGACCTTAATTATGCTGGCTATGATTTTCTGTTTGACTTCATTTTTTTAATCTTGATTTTTTTCCTTATCTAAGTACATACTGTAAACTAAGGTATCACCTGAGTATTTAGTAATTTTTAATATCTGGATTAGGTTATAAAGAAAATAAACACTGGAAGCAAATTTTGTAGATAGAGGCTAAAGTTACCGAAGCTAGTAGAGATTAAGTTTGCCTTTGTTTTTTTTTTTTTTTGAGACAGAGCCTCAAGCTGTCCCCCTGGGTAGAGTGCCATGGCATCACAGCTCACAGCAACCTCCAACTCCTGGGCTCAAGCGAGTCTCCTGCCTCCGCCTCCCAAGTAGCTGGGACCACAGGCGCCCGCCACAACGCCCAGCTATTTTTTGGTTGCAGCCGTCATTGTTGTTTTGGCGGGTCCGGGCTGGGGATTCGAACCCGCCACCTTAGGTGTACGTGGCTGGCGCCTTAGCCGGTTGAGCTATAGGTGCTGAGCCAAGTTTGCCTTTGTTAATGAACAAATTCACTCTGGTATTGGGGCAAATAGGCAAATCCATAAAGGCTCTCTACTCTGAATTTTTCATGAAGATGACTAGGGCAGAGATGTTCTACAAGCAAAAATCCTATTACTAAAGCTTTATACTTCCTGGAAGACTTAGTTAAATTCTCAGATCCTTCATATATATGAAAAAATAGGAGTT